ATTGGAATATTGAATGTCTGTAACAAATCATCACGAACAGCTTTGTAAACAAATCATCACGAACAACTTTTATAAACCAATATTGTTTATAAAAAGTGTAAGGGTGGAAAAAAGTAAATCTGTAGCTCAGCAACCACTTTGATGGTATATGGGATTAGAGAGATAGTACAGTGGATAGAGCTCTTGTCTTACATGCAGCCAACCTGGATTTGACCCATGGCACCACATAAGGTCTCCTTGAGCATCACCAGAAATGACCCCTGAGCACAGAGCCTGGAGTAAGCCCTGATCACACTCAGGCGTGGGCCAAAAAACAAAACAAAAAACAAAATATTGTAAACTATGAGACCTCAATAAAAAGTAATTTTTAAAAAGTAAAGAGAGGCTGAAATAAGAGGTAGGTGGTGACCGCTGCATACAGGAGAATGAATATGAATAGAGATCATATTAGGGAAAGGAGAGGAGATCATCATAGGAGAAATAAATCAGTCACAAAATAACTGAGAGATGTGATAAAAATATTCTTTGTTCTCAACAAGAAATCGATATGTCTACAATGACAATAGGGCTAATGTATTGAGTAGCATCAAGCTGCTGAAGACCGTCAGACTGAGTTTTCGATTTTATAAATGAAACAAGACACGGGGCTGTCCCACCACTGAGAGTATTTCATCTGGAGGACGAATCGAGAATTAGGAGCTCAGGATCCCCAGACCTCAGACACCAGGTACACTCCCACCCCTGATCAACGAGAAGTGATGTGAGTCCCCCCCCCCACAGGACTCCTTAACTAACACCTAAATGAATTCCTGGTGTTTGAGGGTGTCACCCCCAACCCCTAGAAGGACTCAATCAGGCCGTCACCTTCCATTCATCTTTCAAGAAATTTAACCAGGAGTCAAACTGTCCTCAGATTCCCTGAGACTGAAGGAATATTTACCTCTCAATGTCACTCTCTTCCCTCAGACCCATGGGGAAATAATTTCTGAGATCAAAAAACTATATACGTGAAGTTCAAGAATTTCTTTGGTTTTACTTGAGATTCATTTTCTTCAATTAGAATGAAGTAAAATTAAATCCCCACTAAAAAAAAATAGACATATGGCATGATCCCATTTTTATGAAAGTATTTCTATCTCTCCTCTCTGGAAAAATGCATAGAAATATGTCAAGGATGCTGTACAGAAATGTTAATGATGTTATATTTGAATGATGAGACTGAGGTAATCCTTTCATTTTCTTTCCTGTACATCTCCGCAATGCTTAAACTGTTGATAGGGAGCAGATATGGTTTTCACAGGAAGAATGTGAAAAACCCTAACAACTTGGGGACTGCCCTTGGGGGTTTCAAGCTTCCACACTTCACTTGTTTCCTCCTGCTCCTTCCTCTTGCCAGCATCTCCTCCAGGTCTCCTTGGTCCCTCCCCCTGAGACTGAGATAGGACCAACTTTAGAGTTGACTGCCCTGCTGGACCCTGGGCATAGGTTTATAGGCACTTTTCCTCTTTCCCACAGGAGTTATATATTTTTTCCCATCAGAAGGGGTTTTTTTTTTTTGCTTTTTTCGGGGGGGGAGGGGTCACACCCAGCAATGCTCAGGGGTTCCTCCTGACTCTGCACTCAGGAATTACTCCTGGTGGTGCTCGGGGGACCATATGGGATGCCGGGAATCGAACCCGGGTCAGCCTTGTGCAAGGCAAATACCCTATCCACTGTGCTATCGCTCCATCCCCAACCAGAGGGTTTTGAGACCCTCAGTGGACCCTCCTTTCCCTTTAACTTTCTTCCCCCTCCACAGACAGACAAAAAGACAGACAAACACACACACACACACACACACACACACCCATACACACACACACGTACACATCAGAAGAAAACAGCCGAGCTGTGTGGAGGAATGGAAAGTTCTACAGGATTCTGGTGGGATATGGAAGAGTCAGACTCTCCATGCCATCTCCCCAGCTCCGTTAATTTTTCTCTCCAATTTCTCCTTGGATTGCTATATCCTGTCTTTCTCTCTGAGAGTCCTGGACAGGGTCTTCTCGCTGCTACCCCATGCCAGAGCTGGGAGGGAGCAGTGAGCACTTCAGCCACCCTCATTCGTCACAGGGACACCCTGCAGAGACAGAAACCTCCCTGCAAGAGACAGGGCAAGGGAGGGGCCTCTGAACAAGCCACAGGAGAAACAGCCATGCTCAGGGCAGGCCTGGCTGCCCTGAGGACATAAAGGAAGCAGATGACTGTGGGAGGGGAACCAGTCCACCTCCCTGGACTGCAGAGGGACGAATCCCTAAAGCTTAGCATTTCTGTGCAGCATTCCCCATAAAAGGGAGCCTCTCGCCTAAAGATTCCAGGTCTCACAAGGCAAGTTGGTCCCTGAGCAGAGAGACCCTGAGCCCTCCACTCACTTCCTAGGCAGAAACTTGGGGGTTCCTGAGACACAGATGTGGAATCAGAGGAAAGCAGAGACCTAAGCCCAGGTCACTCAGCACTGGGAGGATGAGGGAGTCTGGGGGCAGCTGGAGGGGCCCAGTCTTAGTTAGGACTGAAGGTTGAGGAGTCAAGGTTAAGAGTTTCTCTGCCTGCGGCCCTGTGGGAGTGAGGGCAGTGAGGGACAGCTGGGCATTCTGGCTCTGGATGGTGCCCAGGAATTAATTCTTTAGGCCCTGCCCCTCCTCACCTGACTCTCAGACCTGCATCCTTACCCACCCCCACCTCAACCCCCCCTCCCCCCTACCCCCCCCCGCCCCGTGGATGGCAGGAAAGTGTGTTTGCCTTACTGATACCCTCTGTACCTTTTTTGCTGTGAGTGTGGTAATTACTATCCTGGAAAATTTTTTTTCTTTTTTACTTTTTTTTGCCACACTCAGTAATACTCAGGGGTTACTCCTGGTTCTGTACTCAGGGATCACTGCTGGGAGTGCTTAGGGGATCAAATGGGATGTCCGGGATCGAACTTGGGTCAGGGGCTTGCAAGGCACGTGCCTTACCTGCTGCACTATTGCTTCAGACCCCCTGGGAAGCTTCTTTGCAATCATTGTTATCTTTATTATTATTACATTTTACAGAAAATACTTCTGAGCCACGCAAAGGACTGCTGTGAATCTGGTGCGAGAAGGGGATGAGAATACCTGCATGTGTATTGCAAGTCATAATCCCTAAAAGAGAGAGATTGAGGGAGGGAGGGAAGGAGAGGAGGGAGAGAGGGAAAGAGGAAGAGAGGGGGAGAGGAGAGGGAGATAAGAGAGGTGCCTGCTATACTGCAAAGAGGCAGGCTGGGTGGAAGGTGGCTTAAAGGGGTGGGAGGGAAACTGGGGTCACTGTTGCTGGGAAATTACACTGGGGAAGGGATGGGTGTTGGAACATTGTATAACTGAAATGCAATCATGAACAATTTTGTAATGTTCTATCTCATGGTGATTCAATTTGAAAAAAAAAAAAAGGAAGGGATCAGAGCCCCACCTCAGCCTGTCCAGGGGTAGGAGGGCTGGCAGCTGTGCCCTGGGTCCAGTTTGGTGGGAAGATCCAGAAAAGGTCAGACTGGAAGCAGGCTCAGTGCCACAGATGGTGGGTGTTAAGGGGTGATGGCAGCGCCCTGGGGGCCTTCACTGGGGCCACCCAAATCCAGAACATTGGGAACAGAGACCTGTCAGGAAGGTTAGTACATTTAGCAAATAAAAATAAGATGCCCAGATAAGTCTAAGTGCCAGATAAACAACAAAAAATATTCAGTATGTGTCCCCAATATTACTTGGGATACATATATGCATAAACACTTAAACATTATGCAATATATATGATATTCAATCTCTTTTTGTTTTTTTGCTTTTTGGGTCACACCCGACGATGCTCAGGGGTTACTCCTGGCTCATGCACCCAGGAATTACTCCTGGTGGTGCTCGGAGGACCATATGGGATGCTGGGAATCGAACCCGGGTCAGCCATGTTGGCTACGTGCAAGGCAAACACCCTACCCGCTGTGCTATCGCTCCAGCCCCTATGATATTCAATCTTAACTGGGCATTCTATCTTTTATTTAGCAGGCTTCCCCTCCAAATATTGGTGGGAAAGAAAGCCTTTTCTGAGGTCTTCTTTATACATTTTTCTGTTTTCAGGTTTTATTGTTAACCCGAATTTCTATATCCTCACCAGCTTGTTGGAGAATATTATTTCATTTCATTTTGTTTTTCACTTAAAAACGAACAGATGTTGGGGCCGGAGATATAGTTCAGCGGATAGGGTGCTTTCCTTACATAAAGCTGACCTGTGTGCGTGCTATCCTTGGCACCCCATATGGTCCCCTCATCCCCACCAGGAGTGATCCCTGAGCACAGAGCCATGAGTAACCCTGAGCACAGATGTTCCTGGTCTGCCCGTCTTACTGTAGGACCTTGTTTCTAAGATAATGCCATCTGGGGGATCCTTCTGAGCTGCCAGGTTCTGCCCTGACCAGCTGGGCACCCACTGTCCTGTAGGCGGTAGGAGGGAAACAGTGGCCTGGCCTAGCCCTAGGGCCGACGCAGCGCCTCAGCGCCCTCTGCTGGTAAGCAAAGGGCTTCAGGGGCTGACGTTCTTGCAGACTGGACGAAGAACCCTTCTCCCACTTCACACCAGGTGGACAGCACCTGGCTGGCCTGCCCGTTCTGCTGCATGCCCCACCTCCTCACAAGCTCTTTCTGGTTTTGCCTCGTGAAACAGGACTGGGCCCTGGGCCTCCTCTTCTTTCCCTCCACACAACACATGTGGCCCAGCTCTGACTCCCATGCAGACCAGCTGCGACAAGTCCAGGGTTCTCAGGGGGCGGATGTCCCTCCTGCCCTGGCACCCACCCACTACCAGGTCTTACTCTCAACCACCAGGGGAGCCTGTGTGCATTTAAACCTCAGTCGTCCTCCCTCTTCACCTGCCAAAGGACAGCAGCTCATTCATTTTCTGTAGATCTGGTCTGCTGCCACTGGGTGCTGCCGAAGGGCACAGAGCTCGCACAGGGCAGAGTCTACACACAGCGGCGGAAATCAACAGTGGGAGACCTGCAAGGACCTCCCTGGGCCACGGGCAGAGAATTACTTTTTTTTACTAAAGACACTTTATTTACAGAAAATACAAAATAAACCACAGGACAGACTAGTGTGCCGGGGGAGGGTGGCCCCATAGTTACCCCCCTCCCCATCCCAGAATAACATATAAAAAAATTAAAAAGGCCCTAGTAGGAGGGGGGCAGGGCTGGAAGCACCGTTCTGATGGGAGGTGGAGAGCTCTGCAGTCCTCAGCCGCCCACGCCTCGGTCCAGGGCAGTGTACCCTGGCTTGGCGGGGACCCGGCTTCAAGGGCAGCTGGTGGCCTTGGCAGAGGCTCTGTGACAAGGACTCTGACTTCTGACTGAAGGGTTTGAGGGAGATGGATAGTCGGGGGCCCGCGGGGTTGGCATTATTGCAGTGCTCCAGCCCTCCTCCTCCTGGCCTCGGGGCTCGCTGGCACAGGTGCGGGGAGCAGCTGTGGCGAGCAGGTGGGTCCTCACAGCGACGTTGTCGTGTCCACCACCTCACGGCCGTTGCAGACAGTGGGGACAAACTGGGAGCCGGAACCTGTGGAAAAGGGCTGAGGGTTGGGGCCAACCTCTGGAGAGGGAGCAGCTGAGGATGAAACCTCTACCACTGACCCCTGCCAAACCTGCCCCTTGGCTGGGAGTGGGGACAAGGGCTCTCAGCTGCCTGATGCCTAGGCTGGGGAGACAGGCAGGGAGGGGTGCACGGGTGGACAGGGGTGTTTAGGGAGACTCTGACCTTGGGCCTGACTGGAGCTGCCCCTGGCGGCTGCGCTGCCGAAGCGGCTGGTGGGCGCACGGTGGGTCACCACATTCTTCTGCGGCTGGAAAAGGATGATGTGCAGCTTGGGGGCGAAGAGACAGCCGAGCACCACCGAGCCGCTGAGGCTGACGGACACACACATGGTGGTGGTCTGCACCTGGGAGGGTGGAGGAGGGTGGCAAGCATAAGCCTGGTCCAAAGAACACCCCCACCCGCTGCTGGGACTGTGGGGGAGGGAGCAGGCAGGGGCGGGGGCCAGCAAGTGTCCATCTGCCAAGCTCCAGAGGATTTATAGGAAGGTCAAGCACAGTTCCTCCATCAGTACCAGTGACATCTTCCCAGGGATGCCAGGCTTCCCACTGGGGGTGAACTTGCAGGGGGGCCTGTAGGCATGAAAGCATGCATACAAGAGTGTACACAGGCACATGTATGAAGCCCTGCATGGCAGTGTGTATGCCTGTGTGAGTGTAAGTGGGTGAGCATGTGGATGCTTGTGTGGGTGGGAAGACCTATTCTCCAGGCATGCATGTGCAGTGCACCTATGTGTGCCCTGTGTCAGTATAGACACAGGCCTATGGTCAGGCTGTGTGTGTCTGTCCTGGGCGAGTCCTTGGCCGCCTATGATTGACACACAAATGCAAATCCTATGCAAATGCAGGCTGAGTCAGAGCAGCTGCCCTCTCCAGTCCTGGCCTCTGCTCCCCACGCAGGTGGCCCAGCAGGTGCAAAGCAGCCGAGTCTGGCGGCCCCTGGCCCCCATCTCTGCCAACCAGACCTCAGTTCTCGGGGAAATGGTTTCTCTGGGGCTCTTGTTTTCTTGCTCCTTCACTGTTGGGATTGTCAATCAAGACCGTAAGCTATTCTCACAATCTTTGAATCAATTCTAGGCAAGGAATTGATTGAGAGTCTGTTTCTTGACTATTGTGGAGTTTACTCCAGAGGAAAGGTTAATGGAAAATTAACCAAGATGGTCCGTGGATTCAGAGCTCATGGTTGGCTCTGGGGAGGGGGCTTCCGTGATGATGTCTGCAGCACCCCAGGCCCTGGATGCTGAGGAGACCCAGTGAGATGCTAGTTCCAATCTGGCTTAGAAGCCACTGAGTACTGTTTTCACCTTTCCTGGTCCTCCCTGCAAATCTAACACCACCACCACTACCCCACCCCTGCTTGGCTTCTGCCTTCCTAGTTTCTGTTCTCAACCTTGGAGTTGTCTGGCTCCAAGACTCTGTGCAACAGAGGCATCCCAGGGGTCCTCCAGAGTTCAAGATTCCTATTAAAGCTTTTCACTTGCACCCACCTACCTTCCAGATTATCCCATCCCCTCCTTAGTGCACACCCTCTGTTACAATCGGCCTCCATATTGACTGTCCCTTCCTACACTCACCTCCTTATCCACACATGCTGTTCCTCTACCAGGAAGCCTCTCAGATTCCCTACACAGACACCTACACACACACACACACACATACATACACACACACACACCACCACCACCACCAACAACAACAACAACAACACCAGTATCACCACCGCCACCCCTCTCTCCTGCACTCTCAATGGGGTCTTGACAGAAGTATTTCTTTCAACTTAGCTCTAGCCCACAGGTTTCTGAAGAGCAGAGACCAGGTCTCACAGCCACACGTGGAACAGGGCAGAACCCCTGTTTATGGCAACCTATTCCAGTGCTTCCCTCTCCTCCTAGGTTAGGAGATGGCCCCTGCCCTGAAATCTCAACTCCTGCTCCTTCCTCCACCTCCCTGGCTGTTTCCCAGGGCCCCTCAGCTCTCCTCCTTCCCAGACCTTTAGTCCTGAGGGGGCCACTTTAACCTCAGAGTTCTGGAGGTCCGGTGAGACCCCAGGGAACAGAAGCTCCCACATCCTGCCCGCCCAACCTCTCGCAGGGGGCTCACCCGGTAGTCACTGGAGGTGACGTAGAAGATGGGCAGGAAGGCCAGCCAGATGATGCAGGTCGTGTACATGGTGAAGCCAATGAACTTGGCCTCGTTGAAATTCTCGGGGCATTTGCGAGTCTTGAAGGCATAGAGCGTGCAGAGTGCGATGAGCAGCACGTTGTAGGCCAGTGAGCCCAGCATGCTGGCGTCGCGATGGTTGCAGCGCAGTGTCACTACCTCCCGCCGTTCAGGGGCGGTCTCTTTGCCCGTGCCTGGCGCCTCCACCACCAGCCAGGCAGTGACAATGAGCAGTTGACCCGAGATGAGTGCCAGGCAGATGGCCACTTGGGAGGCAGGACTGATGAAACGTGGCCGCTGGGCTCCCTCACGGGCCCCGCCGAAGATACGAGCGATGCGGTTGGTTTTGGTGAGCAGGGCTGAGTAGCAGACGGAGAAGGCGGTGCCCAAACCCAGGCGCCGTAAGGTGCACACCACTGTGGATGGTTTGGCAATGAAGATGAAGGTCATACAGTAGCAGAGGAAGACACCGCCCAGCAAGATATAGCAGAGCTCCCGGCCTGAGGCCTTGACCACAGGGGTGGCATTATGACGGACAAAGACACCCAGCACGAAGAGGGTGGCTAGGGCCCCGAGGCAAGCGATGGTGACTGGCCCCACAGCCCAGGCATCGCCCCAGCGAATATACTCCTGGGGCAGCTCGAAGCAGCCCGTCAGGCTGGCGTTGGGCCAGTAGCCCAGGCCACAGTCGGCGCAGGTGAACTCGTCCAGCCGGTACTCGTAGGGCTGGCAGGGCATGCAGAGCCAGCAGCACACCTCCCCCGGCTGCACACTCTTCACCTCATTCTGCAAGCAGGGCTCACTGCAGCGAGAGGAGGGCAGCGGGCCAACAGAGGGTGAGGCCCACGGGATGAGGCTGGTGTCCAGGGTGAGGCCTTCTGCCCAGTAGCCCACCTTCTGGTAGCGATAGCGCCCATTGCCTGCCCTCAGGTAGGTGAAAATATTGTAGCGACCGATACCATCACCGAAGCGGTCGAAGCGAACCTCACTGTGGGTGTCTGCTGGGCGGAATGGGGCTGTCAGGGGGGTAGGGGGCAAGGGAAGAAAGAGAGGGTGAATGGATGTATTATCCTGATGAACCTCAAACCTCTCCAAAACATGGAATCTTGCCCCAAACTAAGACCACACTCCTTATCCTTCTGATTCCCACCTCAACCCCAGAGCTCACCTGACCCCATTCATTTTTCTAAATGGGGGATTCCAACAATTTCCAAATAGACCCCCAAGGCCTCTTATAGCCTTAGCCATCTCTACGACAGCCCATCTGGACCCCCAACCCTCCAGCCTCAAGCCCCAGGCTGAGAGCTGCTCTCCAACCCAGACCCCATCTTGCTCACTGAACACACCACCACAGCCCTCTTCCCAGGATTAACATGTAGATACCAGAAATCAAATTCAGGGGCTGGAGCGATAGCACAGCGGGTAGGGTGTTTGCCTTGCACACGGCCGACCCGGGTTCGATTCCCAACATCCCATATGGTCCCCTGAGCACCGCCAGGGGTAATTCCTGAGCGCAGAGCCAGGAGTGACCCCTGTGCATTTCTGGGTGTGACCCAAAAAGCCAAAAAAAAAAAAAAAGAAAGAAAGAAAAGAAATCAAACTCAGCCTCAGGTCTGGGACAGATCCCCCTTAATCCTGTCTCTGGCAGTCCCCGCTCCCAGCCCACCCAGTCCTAGCCCCCATCTTAGTGCCAGCCGATCCCACCTCAACAATCACCTGTTGGCAGATCACAAATTGCTTCTATGCCCAGACCCCGGCCATGTCCCTTCAAGCCCCACGTACCCAGGCTAGCTCAGGAGGCAGGACCCCATGGTCTTGAGTCCCCAGCAGGCAGATGATAAGCTTCAAGCCCTGTGGTAATGGTACTCCCCATTGCCCACCCTGTCCTCTTAGTCTCAAAACCCAACTTGAGCCCCACCAGAAACCCCACCAAGCCCGGGGTCACTGAAGAGGGTTGAAATAAAGTTAACCTCAGTCAGAGGGGTTAACCTCACCCCTCTTTCTTTCTTTCTTTCTTTCTTTCTTTCTTTCTTTCCTTCTTTCTTCTTTTTTGGTGTGTATGGGTTTTTAAAAAAATTTTATCAGTGAATCACCCCTCACCCCACTTTCTTTTTTTTCACCCCACTTTCAATCTCATAGGAATCCTGTCAGAACACCTTGGGCCACTGCTCTGAGCTGGGCCAGCCAGGTACCCTCTGCCCTAAGGATTCTTCCTAAAGTCAGTGATAATTCTCAGGCTTCTTTTTTCCTTAATCCTGGAACTTTTCACTAAAATCATTTTGGCAGAGGGGAGCTGGGATGTAGTACAGTGGTTAGAGCAGTGGCTCAGCATGCACTCAACTCGGGTTAGAGTCCCAGTGCCATGTGGTGCCCTGAGCATTGCCGAGTGCCAGCCTGAAGGTTCCCTAAGAATGTGAGAGTGTGGCCCTGGAGGTCCCCAGCAATGCCAGAGAGGCCCCGGTATTCCCAGCACAGCAGGGCCCTGTCAGTATCTCATCCTTGGGTCCTTGTACTGAACAACTAACCCAGTGGGCTGAAACTCACTGGTGGGATCCCCACCTCCCAAACACCACCTGGAAGCCCCTCAACCTAAAATAAAGTCACTGGGTTAAAGAGGCGTGACTGTCTTGGATGAAAATTAAGGGTATGAATAGGAATTTCCCTGCAGGAGGGAATGTCATCCTGAAGCTGACTCAGACCCTCCCCACCCCTTATTCTCACATTCGCCCATGTTGTGTTGCCTAAAAATGGGCCTGAAGCTTCCTGATTCATAGCCCACAAGATACAGAGGCAGGAGACAGAAGGCAGGATCCAACCCAGACCTTAAGACCTTCAAAGGGATGGGTCAGACCAGAGATCTCTCCTGAAGGGTCTCAGGAAGCAGAACTGCAGCCCTGGCTGGGCTTGGTGCTCTCTCTGCCTCGGCAGCCCCCTGCAGGCTCTGCCTATGCCCCTCTGGGAGAGCCTGACTTGTTGGGGTCTGCATTTCACTTAACCAAGTAATAGAGGGAGAGGGTCTGTTCCCTCTTAGACAGGCAGAACCAGCAGCCTAGTGAACACTGGCCAGCCCCATTACCATCGAACTTGACGTTGAGGATGAAGTCCTTGTAGAGACGACGCCCGTTGACCGGCCTCATGGCATCACAGAGGCGGGTGGTGTTGGGGCAGAGGGCCCTGTGCATGTTGTGCAGTGCGTGGGCCATGGCATACACTGCGTTGACCACAAACATGATCTTGGATTCCTGCTCGAAGGGCACGGCCCGCAGTGAGTGGGTGGCACAGTCACGCTGTCGGAAGCTGCAGCGGAACCTCTGCTCCCAGAACTCGCGGAACCAGGGATTCCGGCTGTTGTTCCAGGGGTCCAGGCTCCGGAAGTAGGAGGCAAAATCACCGATGGGGTAGGAGGCCAGCTCGATGGTGATGGCACCCTCGGCAGCCCTTTCACTGCCGGCTACCACACTCTCCAGGGCCCCCCAGCCATCACTGGCCACCCAGATGAAGCTGGCGTTGAGGCGCTGGGTGGCCGCCAGGAGCTCACGGGCATCCTCGGAGCGCGTGAACAGGACAGCCACGCGGGCGCTGGGCTTCTGCAGCAGGGCTCGCACCACACCCTCGAAGGCCGCGCGGTTCATGGCTCGACCCACCTTCTCTGAGGTCGCCACGCAGATATTGCGGGCACGGGCCTCCAACTCAAAGGCTTCAATGCCTGTTTCACCATAGTCACCCTCGGATGCCACAGTGGACACATAGGTCCAGTTGAAAAAGCGAAGAATCTCGGCCATGGCCTTGGCCTGGAAGAAGTCAGGGGGCACAGTTCGGGCAAAGTAGTCATAGCGGGACTTGTCACTCAGCTTGGCGCTGGTGGAGGCATAGCTGATCTGAGGGATCTGAAAGAGCCGCAGGAGGTTGGCGACCTGGGTGGGGATGAGATGGAAAGATCAGAGAACAGATCGAAAGTTCAAGATATATCTGTCTCCCCTCTCTCTGATACCAACCCCCCTTCCCCCCATCACAGGCACACACAGACACACCAACTATTAGGATTGGGGTCTTGACCTCCAGGAGGTCACTTGAGGTCACCTCTTCCAAAAGGCTTGTCTCATCTCTTGATGTGCCGTCTGCCTGGGGACAAGGTATTTTCTACTTCCAGGGAGAGAGAAGCCAAAGCCATAGCTCGGGGTCCTAAGTAATGCCCAGTCTCCCCATGGAGACGCATGGCAGGAGCCAAACTGGGGCACCCAGAGCAGGTCAAGGTTCTGTGGTCGAGAAAGTTTGGCCCGCAGCTGGTCAAGACAGAAAGAGGCATCAGAGGCATCTGGGATGATCAGGACTTTCATGATCTCCACCTGTTTGGGGGTGCACCCTTCTTGGACAAGGATCACGGCTATAGGATGATGAACAAAGAAGAAAAAGATTCCCAAGGAGGGAGACCCTGAGAGCCACAACGGGTATCCACTGCATGCCTAGGCCGGAGTGAGTCCCAGGCTTCCTGTATCCCACTCACGCCAGCGGTTGGCACCTACCTCAGGGCTAGGGTTCTGCTCCAAACCAGGGCCCCAAACAAAAACCTGGGGGCATAAAATGTAGAGGAAAGCAGGGCCTGGCCTGGGCCCATGAAAGAGAGTTTTGGCCTGTATTTGTGGATGTCTTACAAAAACAGCAATGTCCACTCCCATACTTCTGACCTCTGTGTCCCTGAATAGGCGGAACAGATCTCCCTGAGCCTCGGTTTCTCATTCCTGTTTACAAGGCTTCTGCACAGACTAAAATGATAATGCATGACTAAAGAGTTAGTACATCCTTAAAAAGGGTTAAAGTATTTGTCTTGTAGATGGCTGACTGTGGTTTGATTCTTGGAGCCATATGGCACCCTCAAGCACTGCTGGTGCAGTCCTAGAGGCTGCCGAGCTCCATGAGGTGAGACCCTGGTGGTCCCCAGTACCGTAGGGGACCATATCTCAGGAGTACTGTGTCCTCAGACTCCCACATTGAACAGCAGGCCTGGTTGGCTGAGAACTATTGGGAGTGACCCCCAGGTTCCCTGAGCACTGTTTGGGAGTGCCCCTCCTTGCAATGATAATGCATGCAAAGCCACAGTTGCTGGCATATGGAAGATGACAGAGATTTAGGCAGGAGAGAAGGGGCAGGAACGAGGAGGGATCATTAACAGGCAGGTGCAGCTAAGAATGAGGGCTGGGTGTTGTTTTGACTCAAACACAGAGAAAGCAGACTCATGCTGAGGTGTGGGCTGCAGGGCCCAGGAAGCAGGCGGATGGGGGGTGGGGATAGGAGGGGGAGAGAGAGGCAACTGGGTTCCAGAAGAGGAATCTAGGGGCCCCTGAAGAGAATTGTGGAGATGAGGCTGCTAGAACAGTACCCTAGAGGCCCTTAGTGACACCAGCCAGTGAGAGGCTGTCCGCTTATCCCTGTGCCAGCAGGGCTGGAGGGACCTGTTCAAGACACCCCCAAAGGTGGACAAGTGTCACTGTCTGCAGTAGAGGGATGAGCAGCCTCTCCTGATCTGGGGCAGAAGCTCCTCCATGGTTCAGGATCATTAATTTTCCCCAGAATGGAACAAGCATTCCAATTTAGGGGGCCTGGCCCTGTCAGCCTCTAAAGAAAGCTGAGGGTGTGCCTCCCAATTCCCACCTCCAGGGTTCCTCCAGAAACCCCATTCTGATCCAAGTTTTGGCCTCATCTTCCAGCTGAGTTTACTGGGCACCAGGAGAGCCTGAGACCATCCACCTAGTTGAAAGCTGCCAGGGGTACTTAGGGACATCCCTTGGGTCAGTATACTCTGCTGACTCTTATAGGAGAGTGAAGGAGGGAGGGTCTGGTTATCTCCCTCCCTTCAAATCTTGCACCCTCTGGATAACCCAGGGTACCCTCCCCACCTCCCCATGTCCCATGTTTTACTTCCTCCTAGACTCCCCTAGCCTTGTCTCTGGGAGATACTTGGCACTTCTTTCCAATTCACAGAGAAATAATTTGAGGGACCCCCAGGCCTTTGGCTGAGAGCTCTAGTTTTCTCTTTGCAAGTGGTTTGACTCTTTTCAAGTCTCAATATCTTCATCTACGAAATGGGTTAATAATAGCAGCCAATATGGATTTATGCCCTTATGACATACCAGGTCCCCAGAACACACTTTTATGTATTACTTTACAATAAGATTTAATCATTTTTCACCACAACTCTAAGAGTAACAAGTATTCGAGTCCCATCACAGTGAGTTGACAAACCCAAATTCAGACTCGGAGCTGTAAACTAAGAGACCTGGCCTGAGCTCATGGAAGGGAGGCTATTAAGCTTCTTGGGGCTTGGCGGGTGTGTGTGTGTGTGTGTGTGTGTGTGTGTGTGCGCGCGCAGTATGTTGGAGGAATGTTTCCCTGATACAGTCTCTGAACAGCAATTCCCAGTACGTGACAGAGGCCCTTTCTTAGTCTTCGTGAAAATCTCTTCAAAGGATGTTTATAGTCCTTATTTTTTCATTCTAATACTCCACCTCCTGCCCTTCTCCCTCACCCCCACTCTGCAGTTCCCTGTCCCCACCCGCCATTCAGTACCTGGATGGAGACATCGCTGTAGGAGCCGCCAATGACTCCGGTGATGGCTGTGGGCGCATCGCCATGGGTGGCGTAAGAGCCGTCGGGGCAGATGTGGCGCGAGCCGTCGGCGCCCCTGCTGAGTGAGGCGCGCACGAAGTCGAGCGCCTGCTCCAGCGCGTATGTATCTTTGGAGCAGCTGTCCAGGATGTGCGCGCCCAGGCGCACGCCGGGCAGCAGGCGCGGGTCGCGGTTGATGCGGTCCAGTGCGAAAAGCATGGCTTCGAGCCGCTGGATACCGCGATGCTCGTTGACAGGGCCACACTCCTCGGTGGGGCTGCCTTTCTGGTGTACCGGGAACAGCCCCCCCAGCACCAGGTCCCCCTCCAGGGTCAGCACTTTCTTGGCGGGGCCCTCGGCCACAGCGCCCCACAGCAGCAGCAGTGCCAGAAGCCCCAGCGGCGACCCCATGGTCCCAAAGGGAGGATGGATGGCCCAGTAGACCTGGGCCTCCGGAGGGTCAGGGCAGAGGCAGCAAAGGCAAAGAGAGAAAACAGGAACCAGAAAAGGATAGGCAGGAAGAGAATTGAGAAAGGACGCAGTTCCTGTAGAGACAGACAGACAGACAGAAGAGAAGTGGAAGGTGAGCGAGGCTTCCCTCTGTCTCCCTAAACCCTTTCTGCAGGGACTCAGAGCTAGGAAGTAGAAGTGCTCACCAGGGCTAAGAAGCTCCTGGAAACACCCCCAATCCATCTCTCAGCCCTCCCCTGTTCTGGGTGTGGAGATGGGCCCCATGTCATTAACAATAGGGAGAGGCTAAAGGCCCAGACAATAGATGGGAGACACAATCAATCCCCTTCCCAGGGCCAGAGAGATAGGACAGCAGACAGGGTATTTGCCTTGCAGCAGACAATCCCATTCAATCATCAGCAACACATATGGTCCCCCTTGCCCCACTAGGAGTGATCCCTAAGCACACGACAAGGAGAAAGTCCTGAGCATCTCCAGATGTGGCTCCCAAACAAAAACCAAAAACAACCTTTTCCCACTATGAGTAGACAAAACCCCAGACAAATCTCCCAGGGCTTCATGTCAATCCCTCTGCAGCAGAGAGATCAGAGAAACATACTTGTTGGGGGGAGGGAGGGCAGAGACCATTATGAGCCTTGGTTTCCAGAGAGGGCTCATTGCTGCTCACCCACAGGGACAAGAGGATGAGTTTCTAAGGGGCAGTCTCTCATGCCCTGGTGAGTACCCAAGAAAATGCAAGTCTCTGATTCTTAAAAAAGCCCTCCTCAGGGGTCAGAGTGATAGTACAGTGGGTAGGGCATTTGTCTTGGACAAGGCTGACCCGGGTTCAACCCCCCTGCACATCATATGGTCCACCAGGAGTGATCCCTGAGTGCAGAGCCAGAAGTAAGACCTGAGTACCACTGGGTTTGTTTCTCTCCTTCCACAGCCCCCCCAAGAGCCATTCCCAGATTCTCCTGACTGAGACTTTAAGCCCTAAGAGCTAGCTGGCCAGAAGAGGCTTGCCCCAGTGGCAGACAACAGTGTGACCACAGGTCCTGAGGCAACAGGGAAGGAGTGAGCATATGTGTGTGATGGGGAAGGAGAGCAGATCCTCTGGAAAAAAATCTCAGAACAGGGGCCTGAGATATAGTACAGCAGATAAGGCACTTGCCTTGCACGGAGCTGATCCTGCTTCAATCTCCAGCACCACATAGGATTCCCCCAAACTCTTTCAGGAGTGATTCCTGAGTGCAGAGCCAGGAGTAAGCCCCGAGTACCATCGAGTATGGCCCCAAACCAAATCAAACCAACAAAAAAATCTTACACCAAGGCTCAGGATGAGACTTTGGTATGTGGAAAGCTGTATGAGACTTTTTGTTTGTTTTCTCCTGCTCAGAACCAAGCAGAAAATTCAGTATCTCCCTTCTCTCCATTCTCAGTCTCAGGGTTCCATCCAGCCTGTCTCCGGCCCTCAGAAACCCCTTCTTTTTTCCTTTTACTCTGTGCTCCATCATTTGTGCCCCAGACACCCACTCCACCTAGGAGAGGGAAACTGAAGCCAATGAAGAGCAGAGACTAGTTCCAGTGCTCTGTGTCCTGGCCCATCCTAGGGCTCTTTGTTTTGTCCCCTCAGTACCTTGGGGCTAATCGCCTATTAGAGCCAGGACAGGGGGTCTGGGATCCCCCAAGGGGCCATTCTACCAGGCAAACAGTAGACAGAGGCAAGCCCAAAGAAAAACAAGAGATGGAAACAGAGACCCAGATGGGGTCAAAACTACCAGCCTCCCACAAGGGCTTCTGGACCCAATTTGCGTTGGGGATAGAACTCCAGGGGAGACAGAATCCAAGAGGGTGCCATCAGAGCCTTGGGCCACAAATCCGGGCAGGGAGCAATCCAGTTCAGAGGCTGAGACAAAGACAGAGGCACAGACAGAAGGACGGACCAAAAGGACAGAGAGGCTAGAGGAACAAGGGAGAGCAAGGCAGGACGTGCATGCCCTGGGAGAGAAGGTGGAAGCCTGGGGCTGTCTTCCCCGGGCTCCTGCAGAGCGCTGCCCGGACAGCCCCGGCCAGTCCCGCCAGTCCGGCCCGGGAGCCCCGGAATTCGAGGATCCTCAGGACTCCTCGGGTCAGGATAGATGTCGGCGGCGGCCTCGGCACCACCTGCTTACCCTACCTGGCACGCCCGGCTCTGGCGCGGTGAGAACCGGAGGAGCTGGGCGCTGGGTTTCAGCTCCCGCTCTCCCGCTCGCTTGCTCGGCTCTGCGCGCTCAGTCCGCCCGCCCCGCCGCTTTCCATCGCGGCGCGGCCCTGCCCGCCCCGCCCCCGGCCCCTCCCCCGACCCCCCCACTCCGGGCTCCCGCTCGCAGCCGGGCCTCGCCCCCCTCCGCTGTCCGCTGCGCCTGGCCCGCCGCCTCCCGCGCTCCCTCGCTCGCGCTCTCCGCCAGCCGCCCGCTCGGAGCTGTCCGCCGCGTGGTGCTGAACCCTCAGGGGCCCAGTCCCGCTCGGGAGCAGGAACCTGACTGGGTCCCCTCCACCCCGCCGTTTCGACTATGTCCCAGAGAGGGGCGTGGACCACGGGCCTGGAGCACGGAGCTGGGAAGATCACTGGGTCCTGGGAGTCGTGCGTGGTGCTATGGGGGTCCCTTCTGCGAGGGCGGAAGGTCTGGCCCCAGGGTCGCAGGTACCCGTGGAGGACAGGGAAGGGCTCCTGTGGGAGATTGGAGGAGCGCTGAGCCCCGCCTGCTGCTGGAAGTCTGCCTCTGGCCTCACATCTGTTCTTCCCTCCCAGACTGCAGCTCACCTTATGCCAGGCCTGGGGTGGAAGCCTGTATCTTCAGCCCTGCATGAGAGCTAGGGCCTGAGTCACTAGGAGGAAAAGATGGGGTGGGACAGAGGGCAGAAGAAAATGGGCCCTCTTCTTCCTGCTGATGACCTTTAAAATTACCACTTCCCCACCACGCACCCAGCGCTGACCTACCCACCACCACAACCACTAACCCCCAGTATCTATACAAAGGGTATTTATAGCAGGCACCAACCTGTAATAGAGGGTGGGACCTCAGGGACCGGGGCCAGCACTGAGGGACATGCTGGGCTGGAAGGTTGGGAGGGAGGGAAGGTGAAGAGGCTCCTGAAACTGGCTGCTGCGTAGGAGGGAGCAGGAGCTGGAGCCTGAGCAAAGGGAGGACAGCTCCGAGAACATGCTCTTGATTGTCTTCCCTCCTGCAGCAGGCCAGGGAAGGATATCCCTGGTTCAGGGGTACTATGAGAGCTGCAGTACCAGTCTGTGCTTAAGGATCTGGGAAGGGGGCCTGAACCCAGACCTAGCCCCCAAGCCTGTGCTATCTACCCAGAGAATGCACACCTCCTAAGATACACACACACACACACACACACACACACACACACACACACACACACAGGTATTGTCTCTTCTACAGGTGTCAGGAGAGGGAAGGCTAGTTCAGACACACAAGTTAATAAACGCATGCCAAGCCCAGACCCCTCTGACACACACACACACACACACACACACACACTCACACACACCTACATGTGTGTGTGAGCAGCTGGAAGTGGGCTGGAGTGGACGGGCTTCCTCTCAGGCTTCCTCTCTAGACACAGAAACCTGATGCCCCACTGCTTTAGGAAGCACAGCTGTGAAACAGACAAACACATCAAACCCAAACAAACACAAACTCAGTCAGTGATGGGAGGCGAGGTGGCAGCAGGATGCGGGTTCAGAGCTGTCAGACAAGGCTGGAGGGACAGAAATGCTGTCTTCCTGCCTCTGCTGCTCTTGCTCTCCCTGGCTAGCTCAAAGGCTGCTTGTGGGTAGATGGGGGTGGGGGGGGGGTGCTGGGCCCTAGGGACAGAGGGTTTTAGAAAGTGGCAGGGTGCTGACATGGGAAGAGCAGTCCCTGCACCACAGCAGCTTCCTAAGACACAGGCTTTAAACACCATGACAGCAAGAGAGGGTTATCCCATGGCCCACAGTCAGTGGGCTATAAAGTCCCACTGCAGCACAAGGACACACAGCTTCAGCTTCTCAGCTGTCACATCCTGCTATGTACACACAGACCCAGCCTCACAGCCAGAGATGCGCATGTCAACACAGCCACAGGCACAGCAGTGTATGTAAACCACCTCACATAACTGTACACACACACACACAACTGTAATAGTTTTATATGTGGACACATAATAAGCTGCACACATGGACAAAGAACCATATACATATGCTGGGGACATATCCACTCACAGTTGTGCTGAGACAGTTACACAGGCCTATAGCTCTACATGTGGACACAAACACACAGCTCAGCATATGTATACACACACACACACACACACACACATACATACAGAGTAAGCAAAGCTATATATGGAGCAAGCTTCCATAACAACGCTCTTGGCTAGTCAGTCTCACCTATAATACAACAGACATATATTACAGCCTCACCCAGGTACATTTATATCCTGAGTCCACTAGGGTACCAGCCTCTCCCAGGCCTATGACCACCTGGTTCCATAGACAGAACCTGAGTCCCATGTCCAGGAAGGCACACACATCTGGGGCCCAGGCACTGAAGTCACAGCAGGGCTGTCTTCACCTGCTGGGCAGACACCAGCGTGAGCACAGGCATGGCAGAGCCACAGACACAAAAGGCCTCCCTTGGAAGTTCATAGAGGCAGAGCTGGGAGCTCTTACTCCTGAGCCCCAAAGGGACCCTGTGCTCAGCTCTCACACCCTTTTGCCCTATTCTGCCCGCTCCCCAAAGGCCAATGGGCATCTCTGTAATGAAGGGAAAGTCAATGGGGTCAATGGGAGTCACAGAGAAGAGGGGATGGCCTCAAATGTCCCTTTCTGTTTGCAGGGCTGCTGACTAGATGTCTTCCTTTCCTAAGCCTGGAGGTACCCCTGCCTTTCCGAGCCTGCATGCAGAGCTCCCCATGGCAGAACCAACAAACACACAGACAAATCCAAGTGAAACAAGAAAATCATTTGCTTTATTCTGGTTCCTGGAAGCTCCAATGTGAATCTGAAAAAGATGTAACAGGGTGGCAGCCCTGGGGGCTGAGTGCAGAAGACAGTTTCTGGCTCCTTTAGCCCGGGGGAGCCCAGAGGGCAGTGAGAAGAAGACTTAGCTAGAGGCCCGGGGTGGCAAAAGTCAGGTCCCCCTGGGAGCCCCGGCCCAGTCCAGGCCAGGGAAGTGAAGGAGGAAGACAGCTGGAGAGTCAGCTTAGTTCCACAGCAACTGCACCATGGGAGGGAAAGGGCCGAGTTACTCCTCGCCCTTCTCAGGGGTACTGGGTTCCCGGGGCCACTTGGCTGCTCCTAGGGGCTCAGCCTCAGGACTCAGCCTTGGCTCCCCCAAAGGCCCCTCGCCCTCCAGGTCCAGCTCCTCAAAGGATGAGCCGCTGGCGCCAGACTCGCTGTAGCTGTGCTCACTGCGGGTGTCACCATCATCCCAGCCGCGGCTGCTCACCCCAGGGGACAGCGTGGCAGCTGAAGTCTCCCGGCTGCCAGGACCCACCTCCAGGCTCACAGAACTCGTGTCACTCATGGTATCAGCTCCTGGGTCAGGAAGAGGAACACAGGTTAGCCAGAACCTCTTACCCCTCATAAAGGGAGGGGACAGAGGCTCCCCACCAGCCCTGCATAGTGTGCTCATGAATAATGTAGCAGCCCCTGGCTCAGGAGACGCATTCCAGCTGCCCTCTGCCCTGACGGGGCCACACTGACAGGGCAGAGAAGAGACCCAGGAGGGGGAGAGGGCGAGGGCAGCCTGTCCATGCTCTTCTCTATAATCTAAATTAGCTTCAGCTCCCTGCACTCCCACAAAGCCTGAACCCCTGCACCTCCCCCACCCCACCCCCGCCTCCCTGTGACAGTCCATTAAGGACAGACCACTCAACCCGAGGTGAGGAGCTGAAGGCAGAACAAAGAGACCCAACTAGTGTCCCCTCCTCCACCCCCACTTCAGCCTGGAGAAAGGCTTGTCCAAGGCCAGCCAGAGCCTTGCTCATAAGACAGGAGACTAGGACAAGAGGCCTCCCACAATACCCCTTGCAGGACTACCCACGGGAAGTCAACTGGCCTTTACCTGTGGACCATGTTGAACTCAAGCTTAAGGAGAGGACTGGGTCACGAGTAGGATGGGGTAAGTCCCAAGAAATGCCCAGTTAGGTGCACACAAGTTGGGTGGTGGGACAGAGCATTCTGAGGTTCTCTTCCCTCTGCTTGGGTCACCCACAGGACCCTTAGCCACGCCACCTACTCCCCAACCACTGGAGGCTTTGGAGCCTCAAGCAGAAGGGGATAATGGGAGCACTCCATGCTGAATGGGGCTGAGGGTCCAGATCCCTCCCAGTTTGCTCCTCCTACTCCCAATATATCCCCCACACTACAATTCCTTAATTCATCTTCACACATCAGAAGAACTGACAGCTGCTGGGGGTGGAGCAGTGCTCTGGCCACAGAGGGAAGGAATGTGGGGTGCAGGAAGGCTGGTGTCACCTCTTACACCTCCCAATGTAAGAGGGAGGGAGTCAGCAGTGGATCCTTACAGAAACTGAGGGTGGGCTAGCAGCCACAGTGGTAGTGCCCTGAGTCAAGTTGGGGGTCTGCTTGGAATTTGCACTCGGTCTGGAACTTTCACTGAACCTCAGCTTAGACTTATGAAGGGGGTGAGGTAATGGGCTTTGTTCCCTCAATCCTCTCTGTCATAAGAAGATGCCACTTTGGCAGGAGGTGAGCACTGGAAGTATCAAGTCTTTGGCCCAGGGCCCTTTTCCCTCAACTAAGGGCCCAGTACTGGCTTCCAGGTTGAAGACATTCAAGAATGAGCCCAGGCTGCACCCTGAGTTATGTGTGATGCCCTGACTCAGTGGCAGGACTTCAGCCCCATTCCTTCCTTTAACGATCGGAACTCCAGGGTCTCCAGGAGTGAGAGGAGCAGAGGAAGGCAATAGTTCTTCCCAGACCCCATTAAACTGTCACCTTCTCCCCGCCTGCCCATCCCATGGCTCTCTTGGGACCCGGACAGGAGACTCTGCCTGCTTGTCAGCCAGCTGTCTCCTCCCTCTCAGCTTGGAGGAAGGAACCAGTGTGTCCCTCAGGCCACAGCCCGGCATGCTGGAATGAGGACAGTTTCTGGAGACATATGGACATAGCTGGCAAAAGAGTCTGAGGCAGGAAGTGGCATCCCACTAGCCACCAAATCCTGCACAGGAGAAAGTCCCAGAGTTCTGGGTCTGCATCCCAGGGAAGATGTGGGTAAACCTCGAGCCCCAAACCTCTGGGGCTGCTGGGCAAGGGAATGAAACCGCCACCTTCACCCCAGTCCCTCCCTTCTCCACTGCCCACAGCCGGGGAAGGAGATCAAATATTCATCGCCTCTCTGGAGCTAAATAATACATCAATGTAATAACAGGCACAAGGCAGCTAATCACCCCCTTTCACCTCTCAGCCCAAGCTGGGCCACAGCAGGGAGGCAGGCAGGGACAGGCCAAGCCTGGGGCGGCCAGGCACCCACCCTTCACTGCTATACAAGGGCAAGCACCTGGCAGGCAGACACCCAGAGTCCGCCCCGGAGCCAGGGCAAACCCCGTCAGAGGCGGACAGACCCCTCGGCCCCCACAGCAGGGAGAGGGCGGGCAGGCTGGTAGGGAGGACAGGCCAAGGAGCTGGGGGCGTGGGAGCAAAGGCTGCAGCCAGCTGTGGCGGGTGCCAAGCAGTCCTTCACCACCCCTGGCAGGCAGTGTTTGGAGGAAAGCTGGATGGGAGGGTGGGTGGGCAAAGGAGGGGGGCACAGGCAGCAGAGGGAGGTCACAGGAGGTCGACACACAGACCAGGGAGCTGCCTGCTGACCGAGTGCCACACAAGTGTGCCCACAGCAGGAACAGTGAAGAGTGGCTGCCAGGCCCCACGGAGGTAATTAAGTGGCAGATGAAGTTAACTGTGTTGGACATGGCCCCCAGGGAGCAGAGGCTGCCTCTCCACACACTCCTCCCGATATGCCCCTCTGGGGTGACCTTGTCTGTGAAGACTGGACAGAGGGACTCTCCTAAGAGGAGACAAGGGATAGCCACTGCCTCTGCCACCTGTACCACTTTTAGTTCACGGAGCTCCAGTCACAAAAGGTCCCACGAGCGCAGACCACTGGGGCCACTTGGATGTTTATGGTAGACCACCCTGACCCAAGGACACAGCCTTGAGACACTGGAGGTGCGGGGTAGTGCTGAGAGCAGGCGAGCCCCTGGCAAGGCTGACATTGCGGAAGCATTGGGCACTCCTCATTGGGGGCCCTTTGGCGAGGAGGTCTCAGACAATGGGTGCAGGAGACGCCTTTTCCTCTCCTTACCTTGCAGATCCAGTGCCAATCTTATTTCAGGATGAGCCCCACCCAAGTGTGGCCTTTCCTGAGTGGCCTCAGCCCCCTCCCTTGAGCATCCAGCTGTCTGGGGTCTGGATTTCCAAGGCCACTCCTGCCGCATCGGGAGGGAATCCGAGGATCTCTGGATCTGTTGCCGGGGGTGACATGTATAAATCCACATCTAGGTGACACGTGTCTGGGATAGGCAACTCTACATGTAGGTCTTGGGGTAAGTGGCTCTCCATCCTCCACCTCTGCCAAATATAGCTCAGACATCCCCAGTGCCAACCCAGCCAGGGAGGTGCCTCCTCCACCATGTTTTTGTATGTGTCAGGCAGGGGCTGGGGAAAGGCCCTGCCCCAGCACTCCTGACCCTGTACCTGTGCCATCCGTCTGGGCATCACTGGCTTCCATGGGCCACCGGCTCTTTCGTTCCATCTCTTTCATCTCAGGCACATAGAAGTCCCCCTGTCGTGCCAGTGGGCACATGAAATAGATCTGGTCTTGCTGGTAGATCTCCAGCCGAGGGTGGGCACACAGCTTCCGCTCCTGGTTGGAGAGTGTATAATAAGATTATTATAGGTCTCGAACCTACTGGTCCCTGAGTGAGCCCTGCAACTGGCTCCTTTCCATGTCTGACTCTGCCTCTTGCCACAATCTGCTCCAGGTTCCCAGCCCCTGCCAAGGTAGGTACACACTCAGTACCCTAAAAGCAGCGCCCATGCCCACCCCTCACCACTTCAGAGACCAGTGGCTGAGAAACCAAGGGTTCTAGGAACACCACCCAAGGACAAGTGCTGAAAGAACCCATGATCCTTGCATGGGTTACCCATTTTTAGTGGGTAATTGCGCTGCATCACAGGAAAGGGAGCCAGGCTCCACAGCAAGATGCGTTTGGCCCCTGTTCTGATTGTTCCAGTCTCAGGGTAGCAGACAGGTCCTTGTGCCCCCCTCTGTGTCCATGCAGATCCAGAGAACTCATGTGTCTGAGACCAAAAGGTCTTCCAAAAAAGCTCTGGTCTTACAAAGCCATGAAACAAATGTTGCATGCCAGACCAGTCCAGAAGGGCTCCATCAACTGCAGCCCCATTACCCATTATCCATTACCAGGTCTGACCTGCCAGACTCCCCAACCCTGGGCCCCCTAGCACCCTATCCTACATGATGCCCACAGATACCAGGAATGGTCAATTTCCCTGGCTCTTAGGGCTCCAGGTTCTGCCCTTGTAGAGCAAATTATCATCAGACCCTGGACAGAGGATAAAGGACCCTCTTTCCTCCAGTTTCTCTGCTGCTTCTAGTTTATGCCAACTCCCCAGTGCTAGGTGTGTGGTTATTTCCCTCCCCTTCACCCATCAAGGCACCGAGTTCCATCCAATGGGGACGAGGTGACCCTCAGCTGGAGCAACAAAAATAGGTCTAGCACTGGACATTAACACAACTCCCCACCAGCTTACAGGACCCCCAGTCTGGAGACAGGCAGGCACCCCAGGCCCCCTGCATGGACACAGAGGGGGGCACAAGGACCTGTCTGCTACCCTGAGGCTGGAACAATCAGAACAGGGGTCAAATGCATCTTGCTGTGGAGCCTGGCCCCCTTTCCTGTGATGCAGCGCAATTACCCACTAAAAATGACTGCGAGGCCCCTGCCCTGTCACTGCTCACCCGCCAACCTTCACAACACGGCTATTTATAGCACCCGCCTGGCTCTCACCACGAGCTCTGAAATGAGCCTTCCACTTAGCGGTAATGAGAGACTTAGCGCCTGGTGGGGAGAAGCCACTCCAGGACTCCACTTGTCTGCCTGCCTGGTCAACCCTTGGGTTGAGGAACCCCTCCAATTAAAGTGAATGAAGAGGGGTAAGAACACTTTCCCCTGGGGGGAGAGAGGAGGAATGAGTCTGGGAAGTTAACTTGCTGAGACCCTTGCAGCCAGCCGGAGACAGGGTGCATCTAGAAGGTGCATGGCGGGGTGAGCAGGCCTGAGGTCTAGCTGGAGCTTAGCTTCTGATTCCAAAGCATGACTCATGGCTCCAGCCAAGGCCTTTCAACCTAAGTCCTGTGTGCTCAAGAGCAGAGTGGGCCTTCCTAGCCCAACACCTCCAGAGTCAGTGAAGGAAAGTCATTATTTTTTAATAGTTTGAGTCCAAATTTCACCACTTGGATGCTTTGTCGGGCCATGGCCAGGAGCTCATGTCCCCATTTGCCCTTATTTCTGCCCGCACACTCATCCCAGCTCTGGCCCTCAGGAGGAGGCTGAACAAGAACACAATACCAGGAAGCAGGGATCACTGGCTCTGGCCCCTCCAGAGGCAGCAATGGGTGGGGGGTGGGTGGGAATTTTTCACACCTGAGCTTCTCTCAGTGAACTGGACCATTCTCCCCTGTGCACCATCTGGGACCGCAGCCAAAGAAGGTCCAGATCCGTCCCAGCTGATTACTGACCTCAAGTGAACTGGGCCTGAGCTGAGGAGGGCATGTATGATGTGCTCCAAGGCAGCGGCAGGAGTGGGGGGTGGGGCTACTGCTTCTCTTATCCCCCACAGAACAAGCCGGTGGGTGAGGTACCACACAGAGTCCTGTGCCTCAGAGCAGAAGTTAGCAGGGATTCGTGCTGATGACTGAGGGTTCCAGGAAATCCCTCCACTGGGGGCAGTCCCAAGTTCCCCTTTTATTTGCTCCGAAGAGGGGTGTGGGGGTTTGGAAGTGTATCTGAGGGACTGGAACTCCTGAAGCTAGTTCCTTACTGCCTGCTGGCAGCTGGCAACACTAGCTGACTTCCTGTTAGACAGGGTGGACTGCATCACTCTTGCTGCCATTCTGTGTTAGAGTGAGTGGCTCAGTCTTGGGACCTTATCAGAGGGCCGGTGGTTTCAGTGGTCAGAGCAGGTTCCCCCATCCCAGCAACTTCTCCCTCAAGCCTCTCTGTCTGGGCTGTGGGAGTGGGTATGCCCAGTCCTTTGAAGACGACAGGCCCATCCAGGGTGCGTTTCTCAGCTGTACCAGCCCAGTGTACCATTGACTGAGTGCCATTGACTGAGTGCCCTTGGCAGTCTGTTCTCCAAGGACTCCCTAGGGGTAGCCGAGGGAGAGGCAGCTGGCCTTGCCTTCCTCCAATGATTTTCCAATATTTACCAGCTCACCGGTATGTACTGGCGCCACTGCCCCTGCTGTGCCATGAGGGCCTGAAAAGTAGCCCCTGGCTGTCCATTGCTCCCTCTGAGGCTACACCAGCTGGGAAGCAAAGAGGGCTTGTCCGCTCTGCCTGACTACTTAGTCCTGTCTTTGCCCTCCAGCCCCGACCAGACTGTTGCCCAGTGAGAAAAGCATGGAGAAGGAACTCCCAGGAGAGGTTGTGGGAGCAACTGGAAGTCCCTTTCCTGCTAAGGGCCTAGGTTAGAAGTTTGTTTCTTTGTCTTCTTCCTGTTCCTTCTCTGCCCCCTGAGTCTGAATTTTTGACAGGACCCAGCATGTGTTAAAATGATTTGGGGCTGAGCCATCAATGAGATTTTAATTAGCTCCCTGCCTCCCTCCAGCAGGGAGGGCCACGGGCCCCCAGGTGGTGGGGGACAGGACCAACTGGGCTGGGCTTGAGTAGAGGCTGCCACTCCAGGGGGCGGGGGACAGGCTTGGGCAGCTGGTGTTCCCTGTGCGGGATACTGTGAAGAGAAGACTGGGCAGGGAAGGAAAGGCTGTGTAGCCAGGCCACAGTTTTCTCTCCTTTTCCTATCTCCCTTGTTCCTCTGTTCTCCCCGATGGCTTTGAGATGAAGGCGACGGCAAGGATGGAGGATGCAGTTTCTATGGCAACGGGCTGTCCACAGCCAGGCAACTTCAGAGCTGGGCTCTCTGGAGGAGGCAGATGCGCAGAGCAGCCGCAGAGCTCCCTCCCGCCTGCCAATGAGGGGGCTGGCAGAGCAGGTGGCACAGGGTGGCTGCCTGGTGCTGCCCACCCTGTGTAGAGGAGAGTGGTGAGAGCACACGGTTTCCTTTCACCATCCCTTCAACTGCCCATCCATTACTGCTACCAGGAGCTTGGGTTCTTGAGTGTCAGCCAGAGTTTGGGGTATGTCTCTTTTGTCCCTGGAATTTCTGTATCCCTGAAAGCCAGTTCTTGACAGTCTTCGAGAGCTGACTGACAAGTAGCTGATGGCCCCTCAGTGGCTTCCCTTTGGACCCCTTTGAGTGCCTCGAGTATGGGGATGCTTGTGAAGGCCATTCCCTGAGTGGGGCATGTTTTTCTCAGCACTAAGTGGTGGTCTCAAGCTCTCCAAAGCACAAGGCAATGTGTGCATGTCAAGTCTAGACCACATATTTCCCCATGAGGTCCAGACACAGAAAGCAATGGAGTCAGCTCTGTTTCCACCCATCACAGCCCTGTACATCCTGGGTGGGGAGGATGGGCCCCTTTGCTTCCTTCGAGTCACCCAGTTCTACTCATTTCTCTATGCCAGGCTGGACAGCCAGGCAGCCACCCAGCCAGCAAACAGCTGTTGCATCCCACCCAAGGTGGTGGCATCTTCTCACTGGGTGAAGTGAGGCATGCTCATTTTTAATTACATAGACACGACATGCACCCGCCTGCACACAGCAGTGGGGGCTCAGACCCTGCAGCCAGTCGGCATCATATGTGCAAAGTGATGGGGGAGGCGCAGCAGGAGCTATGGCTGGAATGTGGCATGTTGTTATTATTCCACCCAGGAAGTTCCGTCAACTTCCCTCTCCCAGGCACCCTCTCATCCTCACTGGGCCTCCCAGCACCCTCTGGCCCAGAACCTGAATCTGCGTGTGGGGCAGAGGTGACAATAGAAGACAACCCTGTGGTGCTGGTAAGAGTGGACTCCCCCTAAAAACAAGAGAACCCAAGGTTCTGGAAATGACAAGGGAGTCAAGAAGTGAGATGGCACTGCCGGGAAAGGAAAAGGGTGCAGAAGTGGCAGAGAATTTCCAGGCAGAAGCCAGCACCCTGGTCTGATAACTGACAAACTAGAGGCTTCTCTCTGGGTCTCAATCCCCAACTGTCAAAATAAAAGAGAGTGGGACCAGAGAGGTGGTCTTGGTGTTAAGGTGCATGGCTAATACATGGGAGACCCCAGTTCGATTCTGGCCGCACATGTTTTCCCTCAATGCTGCCGAGTAATCCCTGGACTCAGGGCCTGAGTGATTCCACATCTTCAACTCTCACAGTAAACCACCAGCCTAGTTGGCTGAGAGTTGCTGGTAGAAGCCCCCTGGACTATCAATCAGTACCTGGGAGACCCCCCCAAAATATATAGAGACTGAAACAGGTGAGCTCAATAGAAATAGGAAATGGAAACGACATGTAAGAGTACTATTTAAAAACAAGACATTTAAAAACACACACACACACACACACACACACACACACACACACACACACACACACACACCATGCACCCCCCCCCCCCCCCCGGGAGAAACAACCACAGATGCTGAGGTCACAAAGCCTAGCCCTTTCTGTGTGCCAGTTAGCCCGTGAGAAGTCAAATGAAAGCAAGAGATGAGTCCCTTTTTGGGCTGGGTGTAGCC